TTCTATTCTATTCTATTCTATTCTATTCTATTCTATTCTATTCTATTCTATTCTATTCTATTCTATTCTAAGCATTTCATAAAACTAATACTAACTTAATGGAGGTCATTGCATTAAGGCTCATGCATAGTCCTGCATCAACTTTGCAGTCAGGCTAAATAATTAAAAAGCTTTGGGTTTAGCCTCTCAGCCAGTAAATACTTTGGGGTACAGGATACAAGCAATTAAACTCACTTCAGAGTGCAATATTCCACCAAGAACCATGCATCTATTATCAGCATGCTGATGGCAAAACGTTAGGGGGTTAATGGACATGTTATTTTATTTACTGAATTTCAGAGTTACTCTTGAAGAGTTTATTTCAAGGAGGCTTTGAATGTAAAACATGTCATCAATTCCTCATCAGTCTAGCTGGCGGGGTGTGGGGGGGAAGAGTCCAGTGGTGGGATTCAATTTTTTTTACTACCGGTTCTGTAGGTGTGGCTTGGTGGGCGTGGCTTGGTGGGTGTGACAGGGGTAGGATACTGCAAAATCCCCATTCCCTCCCCACCCCCACTAACCCGCTTTCCAGCTACATTCTCAAAAGAAGACCCAGCCAATCAGCTGGGACTCGGGAGGCAGAGAATAGATGGGGGCGGGTGGGGCAGTCAGAGGTGGGATTTTCCGGTTCTCCCAACTTCTCAACATTTCCGCTACCGGTTCTTCAGAACTGGTCAGAATGTGCTGAATACCACCTCTGAAAAAGACTCACCACGTAGGCCTTTTCCTCTCCATTGGGAAGTGGGAATTCTTCTTTGCACCACTGGTACTGTGGCGGGGGATCTCCCGTGGCTTCACACTGAAGAATTAACGTTTGTCCAACCGTCAAGTTCTGAGACTGCGGATGCAGGTAGATGTGTATTTTCTTTTCGGGCAACTTGAGGCAGCTCCCTTGAATTGAAGATTGTTTAAACATTTGTGAGATAAAAAATCTTTTCCGCAAAGCAACAGAGATGAGGCCAGATTTGCAGAGCAGAAGCAAGACAGCCAAGAACGGTAATTTCTTTGCCCGCAACTGGGCCCTCCCCAGTGACTTCCTCATTTATTTGCTGCAACTAATTTAAAGGAAGTGGATGGTTTTGAGAAGAAAGCAATAAACAGTTTGGGTTTGTTCTTTCAGGGTGGGAGGCGGGGGGGAACAATGGCCTCTTGATGACTTCTGGACTTCGACTCCCAGAATTCCTGAGCCAGACAATGAATTCTGGGAGTCAAAGGCCACAGGTTGTCAAGGGGGCATCGTTCCCCACCCCTATTTTAGAGAGAAAATTCAAAATACTAAGTTTAAAAAGTTGCTACAGATAGTCCTCCACTTATAACTGGTTGCTTAAGGACTATTCAAAGTTAGTACGGTTCCTCCCAAGAAGTAATTACAACCTGGTTTTGAGATTTGGATGTCTTCCTTCCCATGGTCACATGGCTACATTTTGGACGTTTGGTAACCACCTTATGTTCACAGCTGTTTTTGGCACCCTGATTTATGGTGTTTTTGCCGGAAACAGGCATTTACTTCCAATTTCCAGCAAAAAACACCCTACAGTGAACAATGGCTTCGCTTAACAAAGCTACGTTCACTTTATGACTGTCAGATTTGCTAGTACTACTACAGTTATGTCAGGAGCACTGAAGCACTTCCGGGTTGAAGGGATTCGCCAGTGACCTCATCATTGACCAGGGGGTGCCCAATAGAAGGCTCCTTTCATGTCCCACCAGAGTGTACCTATCTATCTACTCACAGTCTCCCGCTTTCAAACTTCTGGGTCAGCAGATGGACCCAGTGATGGGAGCTCACCTCACCACATGGGAGTGACTGGGTCTCAAATGTGAGCTTGCCAATCGTCAGCCCAGCATCCTAACCACGTGAGCAACTGCGTTCCTTGCCATATTTGCTTAACATCTACCGCAAAAGAAGATAGTAAAATTGGGGTCCAGTCAATGATGACCTGCTTTACAATTGTGGGCTCAATTACAGTTATAACTCAATATAGTAGTTGCTTGGGTGTTTTTTTTAATTCATATTAAATTAAGAGCCATATTAAATTAAGAGCCACGGTGGCGCAGTGGTTAGAGTGCAGTTCTGCAGCTACTTCTACTAATTGCCAGCTGCCTGCAATTTGGCAATTTGAATCTCACCAGGCTCAAGGTTGACTCAGCCTTCCATCCTTCCGAGGTGGGTAAAATGAGGACCCAGATTGTTGGGGGCAGGAGGCTGACTCTGTAAACCACTTAGGGAAGATTGTAAAGCACCGTGAAGTGGTATATAAGTCTGAGTGCTATTGCTATTTGCCATGTTCATGTTCTGAGAACTTCTCAGTAGTAAATATGTTTTCATGTATTAAAGCAACAAATATTCCTGTAGGTAACAGATATTAATGGGTAGATGCTAATTCATTGCAGAAATAGTATATTATGTATGATACAAATAAATTATAAATATGGCTTCGCTCCCATTTCATGCACCATAAAACTTATGTATAAACCTGATAGTAACTACTGCCATACTTAATTAAATATCCCTTTTTAATGAGAAATAACCCTACTAGAGTGGTAAAGTACTGTAAAAAGAGCTGAAGTATATTATTTTTTGGGAGAAGCAATTACTTAAGTGATTGTCCAACAAGATATACAGTATCTGAGGATAATATTTTAGTGATGTATCATTTTAATATTACGATTAGCAATCAAATGATATTGTCTTGCAAGAGTGATCAGAAATTGCATTTAATCCAGAAAGTATAGCTAGAGTAGATGGTTAAGAGAAAAAAACCAAGCCCCAACAACACAGGCACGACAGATAGTCCTCAACTTACAACAGTTCATTTAAATGACCTCCGAAGTTACAACGGCATTGAAAAAAGTAACTTACGACTGTTTTTCACACTTATGACCATACATTCAGATGCTTGATAACTGTTTCATGTATATAATGGTTGCAGTGTCCTGTGGTCACATGATCCCCTTTTGTGACCACCTGGCAAGTAAAGGCAATGGGGAAGCCAGATTCACTTAACAACGGTGTTATTAATTTAACAACTGCAGTGATTCACTTAACAAATGTGGCAAAAAAGTCATAAAATGGGGCAAAGCTCACTAACAAATTTCTCACAAACCAACATACATTTTGGGCTCACTTGTGACTGTAAGTTGAGGACTACCTGTATAAACAGGGATATGCTCATTTTCTAGGTAAGATGTTACCTATCTGAGTAAAGTAACATCTTCAAGCAAACAAGCGAGGTCAGAGAGTGCCAAGGACTCCACAATTCAATCCTGAGCTACAAACAACAGAATCACAGAGTTGGAAGGGACCTTGGAGGTCATCTATCCAAGGAACGCAGGAAACCCTACACCACTTCAGACAAATGGTTATCCAGCATCCTTTGAAAAACTTCCGGTGTTGGATCATTCACAAATTCTGGAGGCAAGTTGTTCCACTGATTAATTGTTCTGTAAAAAAAATTCTCCTTAGTTCTAAGTTGCTTCTCTCCTTGATTAGTTTCCGTCAATTGCTTCTTGTCCTGCCCTCAGGTGCTTTGGAGAATAGCTTGACTCCCTCTTCTTGTTTTAGCCTCTAGTCTCCTAATCATCTTTGTTGTTCTTCTCTGTACTCTTTCTAGAGTCTCAACATCTTTTTTAAATTGTGGTGACCAAAACTGAACGCAGTATTCCAAGCGTGGCCTTACCAATGCATTATAAAGGAATATTAACACTTCAGTGATCTTGATTCTATCCCTCTGTTTATGCAGCCTAGAACTATGTTGGCTTTTTTTGGCAGCTGCTGCACACTGCTGGCTCATATTTAAATGGTTCTCCACTAGGACTCCGAGATCCTTCGCACAGTTACTACTATTGAGCAAGGTACCAAATGCACCGTACCTGTGCATTTGATTTTTCTTGCCTAAATGTAGATATTCTACATTTATAAATGTAAATATTCTCTTTTATTGGAAAGCAATAAACATATTATACCTTTTGGAGTGGCTCCAAGTGTTATTGGGCTCAATTCAGGATGTAGATCTTATCAACAAAGTTTTAAATGGATTTAAATGCTTTCTTGAGGCCAACAGAGAAGCCATTTATTTCTCAATTTCCAGTGAGAGATAAAGACTTTCCTGCTTCATTCAGGATTAAATGGTTTTTAATATGATCCAAAACATGTGTTTTTTCAGAAAGTTAAATCCATAATTAACTAAATTGCTTTAATGTGCATGTTTATACTGCGCTAAGATACTTCTGATTAAAATGTAATCTAGAAATACTTTAAAAGTCACTAGGAAACAAGCAATGAAAGATTTCCAGGTAGATACCAAGAAATAATACATTTTAGGCTTTAGCAAGTCTTTCATGAACTTGTGCCCCTGCTAAAAGTACATAAAAGCTGTAAAGCGTTATCTCCAGGACAGATGACAAATGCCTTTAACCCCGCTGTTATGGTAAAATACACCAGCATGGACTCATCAAAAGTTTTTACAAATCTATTGTAGTTGGAACCTAACATGACAGAGATTTAAGAATTGCGTTTCCTGAAGCTGCAGCCATAGAGAAAGGAGAAAATTCCATAATCAGAGGTTCTATGACTTCAAAATCATCCCTATGCCAAGAGAAAGAACAGCAGAGATCTAAAAACATCATTGTTACAACTTTAAAATGGAAGTAGAAAATCAGTACGCCTCCTATTTACACCTTCTTGCCATTTCTATCATGTAGAAAGTTTCTAACCCACCATCAGAATCTCTTTGGCTATCACAAACATCCAGCTGTGCCCATTGGCTGAATTCATAGGAGGAATCGCTGTTCACTCGACATATGTATAATCCCGCATCTTCTGCAGTCACTTGACTGAATATCAGTTCTGGGGAATTCCCATTTGGAACCTGAATTAAAATTAAATTAAATTAAAAATTAAAACATATTGCATACATTGCCACAATAGGGAAGCTATTGGAAGGTATAATACAATAGTGTTTAGCTATATTACACACAAAAACTGGTTTTGCTGATTGTTGGTTTAAACTTAGAGTGATTGGTGAATTCAGCCACTGTTCTATGTTGAGCATTATTTTAAACCAATAGAATAGAGTTTCACCAAAGATCAGTTTGGAGATCAGGCATATTCATTCGCTGTTTGAAACATTAACTAAGAAAAATGAAATGTCAAATCCTCAAGATTTTAAAATTTTATTGATTGATTGATTCAATTTCTACACCCATCTATCTCAATCCAACGTACTCTTGTTCTATCTTATCTAACAATTATATTGTTATGTTATCTAATAATCTTTCTGCAAGAAACTCAGCATAAATATTATCAATACAACAATATTGTTAAACTGGATTAAGAAGTGAGGCAAAGGCTGCCTGATAAACTTGTAGATGAGCAGGGAGTTAATTGATGGTCTCTCCAATTTAGGATCAAGACTAATAACACAAAGAGGAGCTTCTAAAGCAAGGGTCTTCAAATTTGGCAAGTTTAAAACTTGTGGGCTTCAACTCCCAGAATTCCTGAGCAAACATGACTGGAAGAGGAATTCTGGGAGTTGAAGTCTACAAGTCTTAAAGCTATCAAGTTTGAAGACCCCTGTTCTAAGGCATTATTGAGATTGTGTTGATTTTTCATTGATTGATTCATTGATTGACCGACTGATTGATTGATTGATTGACTCATTCATTCATTCATTCATTCCACTACTTTACAACAGTTACAACAATAACTCTAAGCAGTTTAGAAGTCGCAACAGTAACTCTAGGCAGTTTACAAAGCATAAATAATTTGTAGGGCAATGTAAGGCAAAAGAAATCAAGCAAACAACAGTAAGACTGCTAAAATCAACAAAACCAGTTATACACCAAAAGACATAGATCAACAAGTGAGGCCACAAAATTCTCTGCAGAAAAAGCCAGACCTGACATGACAATGGGACACTGCAAACAGCCATAAATTCAGCCCATTTCCTATTCAATTGAAGATGGAATTATTATACTAAAAATTTTAAAAAAAAATTAAAAAATTTTTTCAGCCCATTTCCAAGCACCCACAGTAAGGTCATGAGACAGTGGGGAGGGAGCTGCTAATTATTGGAACTTCAAATCTGAGTTGAAACTAACACTCAGGTAGGCCTGTTGGAACTTTGATTGGTTGCAAGTCAAACTACCACCTACATAGATTGAATACTTAGAACTGCAGCCTAATATATTTCCCTGCACACCACATACTGTTAATTCAATTAATTCAATAACTACTTTGGATGTGAAGTGTACTGTTGAGAATGGGAAAATTTCATACTATATTCACCCAGATAAAAATAAAATCAAAATATTACACGAAGAGTACTTAAACACCAACAATAGTGAAATTTCAAGTTCTACCAAATGCCAGGGTTTACCAGTAATGAAATCATTTAAGTATCCACAGGTCTTCATTCAACACTGCTTAATGTCATAGAAATGTTTTGTCCAAAAAGAAACCAGTTATATTCATATTTTAGTTGCACACTATAAACACCCATTCAACATTTGTATGAGTGCTGCCAAGATCTCTGCCATATGCTGATTTTCCCAATGAGATTACTATTCCTCAAATATGAAAAACACATTTCTTTTAAAAATCATAGGCACTGAAAAAATGGTACGTTGACTGTAAGAAATTGGGTGGTTTTACCATACATTTCATCCCACTTAAGTTTTCAAAATAACTTAAAAATAAGAACTTGGGAAGTAGGCTGGTGGCCAGCACAATATTACGATGTCAACCCTTGACACCTTGTGTGAGATGGATGGCCAAATAAATTGGTTTAAATAAAATAAACCTCTTCATATAGACCAGGAGACTAAAGTCATGCAGTATTATTTTTATTGATGTAAATATAGTGCAGGTAGTCCTCGACTTACGACTGCAATTGAGCCCAAAATTTCTGTTGTGAAGTGAGGCATTTGTTAAGTGAATTTTGCCCCATTTTATAACCTTCTTTGCCTCAGTTGTCAAGTGAATCACTGCAGTTGATAAGTTAATAACCCAGCTGTTAAGTGACTGGCTTTTCCACTGACTGCTCATCAGAAAGTCGCAACAGGTGATCACATGACCTTGGGACATAGCAACAGTCATAAATATGAATCAGATGCCAATCATCTGAATTTTGATCCCACAATCATTGGGATGCTGGAAAGGTTGTAACTGTGAAAAACGGCCATAAGTCACTTTTTTTCCAGAGCCGTTGTAACTTTGAACGGTCACTAAATGAACTGTCGTAAGTTGAGGACTACCCGTAGCAGGTCTCAATATGCTTTCATCCTCCCTCTCCCTTTATCCTCATGACACCTAGGGAAGCTGAGGTGTTTTTCTCAAGTTACAATTCTGCCCAGTGCACAATTGAGATGTGGTCACGAAGATAAAATCCGGAAACACTTCTGCATATGGTATGAACCATTCCCCTCAGAAAACAGCTGGGATAAACAATATAAATAGAATAAAAAATATTATTTTAAATTTTCTTATTCGTTAGTTTGCTATCCATCCCGCCCAAATAATAAATAAGATACAGAGTCCTCTACTTACAACCACAACTGGGCCTGAAATCTCAAGTCACTGAGTAAAGCAGTCATTAAGCAAGACACCACGGGGCTACTTTGCTCGAAAAATGTAATCCAGGCTCTCCCAGTTGTGATTGTTAAGTGGACCATTGTAGAGAGGGCCTGGATGAGGGAGAGAGAGACCAAACCTCCCACCACACCCAGAATGGGACAACTCTCCATGGCCAACTCATCATGGCCAACTTGCCGCAGCCAACTCTCTGCGGGACAATTCACCAAGGGATAACTTGAGGGAGGGACAAGTAGAATTGTACCTCGCTTCAGCCTCAAGGACTTATAACTTGAGAAGGTTCAAACCTGACGCTTGCAATTCCACTGCAATTTTGTTCCCAGGTTTGGGAACAAAAAAGGCTTAAAAAGGGAGGGAAAAATTAAAATGGCAAACACTTGTTGAAAAGAAGGTTAAAAAAAAATCACAATTCTATGCTTTCTTTTTTTTCTCCTTTTTTCTTTTCCTTATCTTTTTTTTTCTTTTTCTTTTATGTTTAATTTTCTATACTTTTTAATACTTTCCATACTTTTATTCTACCGAAAAGTCTTAATAAAAGCATTTTAAAAAGAACATTGCATTCAATACGACCCAAAATTTTCTACATTTTAGAAGCTACCAGTTACATTCTAGTATATTTATTTACCATTTTTTTCTCTTTAAACCACTGATAATATAGGAGAGGATATCCTGTTGCCCAACAGCTTAGTTTCACCATCTGGCCAGAGAAAACAGCTTGGGATTCTGGTTCCACGATGATCTTTATAGCTACGGAAAAATAAGAGTAATCTATATTTAACACAAAGGATGCTAATTATATAAACACACTGAAGTTTGCTTGCCTGCTTATTTAATTGTTTGTTGGGTTTGTAAGGCTGTCTAATTATTAAAAAAAAATCAAGACAGAATACAGAACAAATTGAAAACACACTATAACAGTAAAGGGATAAGGAAATCTGAAAGAGATGGAAGATGTGATGTAAGAACCACTGAACAAAATCTTTCAGAGATCCTGGAGCAGAGGGGAACTGCAAGAGTACTAGAAAAGAATTGATGTCATTCCAGTCTTCGAAAAGTGGGGGAAAGTGGATCCAGGAAACTACAGTTTGACATCAATAGCTGGGAAAATCCTAGAAAAGATAATCAAGCAACAATCCAAGTGGTGTTAACATCATTATCAAAAACTCCAGGTATCTTAGATAACATTTCATTCAATACAAATAATATTTCATTAGACACATTAGACTCCACTGTGTTTATATAGAAAAAGCATCATATTGTTTGGGTTGCAATGAGAAGAACACTTCATTGAAATATAAGTTCATATAGTGTTCTGTAATTGTTACATTTGGAAAGGAAGTTGTCAAACTCTAGGCCCACAGGCCAGATACGTCACATGCTGGCCACACCCATGCCCAGTTTAGTGAAGGGGAAAAAACATTGTGATATGTTACGTGAAGCCATCACGAGGCGAGCTTGACACCCCTGTACTACGTGCATCTACTCAACTATGCATTTATTGACGTTTCCATTCTTTTGAACTATATTTATATCATTTGGAAATTGACTGTGCGATAAAGTAGGTGCTCCATTATTTAGCATGATAAAAAAAATGAACTTTTAAAACTTTTTACAATCTATGGTCTTCAGAATTGATGTGATTAGCAACTTATAAATGAACCATTTGTTTATGTAGATTCACTGTGGACTACAGTAGAACTTCTGATCATGAATGCTTCTGACCAAAAAATTCACAAATTATTTTTTGTTTCGCGGCCGATTTCCCCTTCTGCGCAATTTTTTTGGGTAAGCGCCAAAATTCCAAAATTAGGTTCGGGTCATGACCAGATCAGGTTGTGACTAAATTTATGCAACGAATTATGGTCGTGACCAGAGGTTCTACTATATCAGGTTACATGCATGTGACATTTAACTCACAAAAAGCAATTTGACTCTTTATTGGCAGTATCCCGAAGGCTGTTTCTAACAGGGAGGCAAGGCTTAAACAGCTGTACCCTAAACTGGAAGATGTCCTCAACTTATGACCATAATTCAGTAGTTAGGCGAATTCACTGTTTGCCATGGGGCATTTTTTTCTGGAAATTGGAAATAAATGCTGGTTTCAGGGAAAAAAATTATCACAGTCATGGATTGCAGGACCCTGCAAACAGCTATAAAGGTACACTGGTTGCCAACCAAGTGTCCAAAATGCAGTCATGTGACTGCAGGAGTGAGTGGTTGCATGTCAGAACTTTGAATCCACATCATAAGTCCTTTTTGGGGGAGTCCATTGTAATTCTGACTCATTCGTCACTGACTGGTCATAAATTGACCACTGCCTGTCCAGGTAACAGAAAGGTTGTCATCATTTCTTCCTTCCCTGATAGACTGCAAAGTCATTTGGGTTTGCTTAGTTGTTAGATGAAAGCCAGAGGTGATATTCAGCAGGTTCTGACCAGTTCTGGAGAACGGTTAGTGGAAGTTTTGAGTAGTTCGGAGAACCAGTAAATACCACCTCTGACTGGCCCTGCCCCCATCTATTCTCTGCCTCCCAAGTCCCAGCTGATCGTCTGGGTCTTCTTTTGTTGCCCTGCACAGGAGAACGGAGCTGGAAAGCAGGTTGGTGGGGTTGAGATTTTTCCCCTGCCATGCCCACCAAGCCACACTATGCCCACCAAGCCATGCCCACAGAACTGGTAGTAAAAAAAAATTTATTCCCACCGCTGATGGAAGCCAATATAATTTCATGTTTTAAGTGCAAGATGCAACTTGTAGTAATATGATTATTAAGAGGTGGCCTAGGCTGAGAACTTAAAACCCACTTGGATTGAGCAACTGAAGCGCCTCGGTGTGTTGCAAGGACTGCAGTAATTCTGTCAACTCTGAAACAGTACAGCCTCTTTCACCCATTAGCTGAAGGAGACTCCAGCTGGGACTTCCTTCAGGAGCCAGAACTTGCAGAGAACAATGCTCCAACTCAAGAGAACTGCAAAGAATGACAACAAACAACAAGAGCAATAATAAGTCTTTCTGTACATACAGTTAAAGAAGCGTGAGATCTAGATCAGTGTTTCTCAGACTTGGCAATTGTAAGATGTATGAACTTCAACTCTCAGAATTCTGGCTGGGGAATTCTGGAAATTGAACTCCGCACATCTTAAAGTTGCCTAAATTTGAGAAAAGACTGGTCTAGAGTAAAATTGCAATGCTAGCTCCCTGAAAGAATACCATAGGCAAGAAAGATCAAGTTGGCCTTACAAAATAGTCAGGGAACAAATCTATAGGGAGTTGCCTTCTCCTCTCCTTGCCCAACCCAATTAACTCCTCCAAATGATGAATTCAGTGCTAAGCCAAAACTTCCTGCAATGATCTAAGGGAGGCTAGAAAAAAAACACCAGGAAAATCACTAAGTGTTGTATCTTATGATTCTTGATGAATGTATTTTATTTTTTCTTATGTACACTGAGAGAATATCCACCAAAGACAAATTCCTTGTGTATCCAATCACACTTGCCAACAAAGAATTCTATGCTATGCCATGCCATGCTATGCTATTCTTAAAAAACCCCATTAGATCACACAGGCATGTTAATTTAGGAGGTTAGGTGCAAAATTTGAAAATCCTCAAGTGAATGATTTCTCTCATTACATTTCAATAGATAAGGATCTCTGGGCAATGGCGAACATAGTGTAAGTGTAATACTATATCATCAATTAGTGTGATAAACACATAAATAAAAGCAAACACAGAATAAAACCGGAAGCAATAGCTAAATGATGGTTTAAATATGTAGACAGTTTTTAAGGCTATCACTTGAAAAACTCCATGTCCTCCAAACAAGGGATCTCAGGCGATCCCATTGGGAAATGATCTTAGATTATTTTTGTCTTTAATCAAATCAAATCAACCTTTATTGTCAGAGTACAACATATGTACAATGAGATTGGCTGAGCCTTCCTTTGTGCACCCTCCCCCAACACAACTCACACTGAAGACCAAAAAAAGAAAAGAAAAGAAATCCCCAATCCAGTGAATCTTACTGAAAAACACACAATCTTATTTCACCATGTGAACTTATTGCACAATGTGCCGTCCCCACAAGTCTATCATACTATGTTGACATGAGGTTATTTTCCATTCAGAAGTCTGACAGCCCACGGGTAGAAACTATTCTTCAGCCTGTTGGTGGGGCTGGCTATGCTTCTATATCTCCTACCTGATGATAGGAGAGTGAAGAAGTGCTGACTAGGGTGTGAGTCATCCCTGAGGATTTTCCTCACTCTTCTAAGGCAGCGAGCCCTAGTGATGTCATCTAGTGCAGGGTCTTCAACCTTAGCAACTTTAAGCCTGGTGGATTTCAACTCCCAGAATTCCCCAGCCAACTTTGCTGGCTGTGGAATTCTGGGACTTGAAGTCCTCCAAGCTTAAAGTTGCCAAGGTTGGAGAACCCTGATTTAGTGGTATGAGGGGACAGCCCACAATGTTTTGTGCTGTGCTCATCACCCTCTGTAGTGTCTTTCTATCTGCGGCTGTCAAGCCAGCATACCACACCATAATGCAATGTGAGAGGATGCTTTCTATAGTGGACCGGTAAAAGGAGGTCATCAGTCATTGTTCCATTTTGTTCTTTCACAAGACCCTAAGGAAATGGAGTCCCTATTGGGCCTTTCTGGCTACTTGTGTTGATTTTCCAGGTAAGATCTTCGCTGAGGTAGACTCCCAGGAATTTAAAGGAGGAAACTCTCTCCACATCGCCCTGCTTGATGTAAAGTGGAGCAGGTTCCTTTCTCTTTTTTCCGGAAGTCTAACACTATCTCCTTTGTCTTGCTGAAGTTCAGGTGCAGGCTGTTTTCCAGGCACCATGAGGATAATGTTTGAACCTTCCCCCTGTATGCTATTTCGTCTCCACCTGTGATGAGATCCAATATGGTGGTATCATCTGCAAACTTAATCATCACAGTGGATGGGTCAGACAATACACAACCATGTGTGTACAGTGAGTACAGATAGGGACTGAGCACACAGCGCTGTGGGGAACCAGTGCTAAGCTTCAGGGAGGTGGATGTGACAGACCCAACCCTCACTGTTTGTGGCTGTTTCCCTCAGGAAGTCTTTGATCCAGTCGCAGATGGAAGAGGGAAAATCCAAGTCAGTCAGCTTTTCGATAAGGATGCTCGGCAGAATAGTATTAATAAAAAGCATCCTGATATAGTTTCCGGGGTTCTCCAGATGGCTCGCTACAGAATGTAAGGCAGTAGTTATGGCACCATCTTTTAAAAGGTCAAGGTTCAGTGGCTAAGATGCTGAGCTTCTTGATCAGAAAGGTCAGCAGTTTGAATCCCTAGCACCGTGTAACGGAGTGAGCTCCCTTTACTTGTCCCAACTTCTGCCAACCTAGCAGTTCAAAAGCATGTAAAAATGCAAGTAGAAAAATAGGGACCATTTTGATGGGAAGGTAACAATGTTCTGTGCACCTTCGGCGTTTAGTCATGCCAGCTACATGACCACGGAGACGTCTTTGGACAGTGCTGGTTCTTCAGCTTTGTGTAACAGAGATCAGCACCTCCCCCTAGAACCAGAAATGACCAACACGTATTTGTGAGGTAAACCTTTACCTTTACCTATCCTGCCTTTATTACTTTATAAGTAACCTGCATCAGTGAACATACATCTTCCTCCTCCTACTTTCCCCACAACAACACCCCTGTGAGGTGGTTTGGACTGAGAGTGCAAGACGGGCACAAAAGTCACCCAGTCAGCTTTCATGCCTTGATCTCTTGGCTCTTAGACCAGCATGTTAACCAAACTGACCAGTATGTAAACCAAACTGTCTTGCATACAGGCAAGTCTCAGTTCAATCAGAATAGAGCTGGAAGGGACCTTGGAGATTTTGTAGTCCAACCCCTTGCTCGAGCAGGAGATCCTACACATTAAATAGCTGTCCAGACTCTTTTTAAAAGCCTCCAGTGATGAAGTACCCACAACTTCTGAAGGCAAAGCTGTTCCACTGGTTGATTATTCTCACTGTTAGGAAGTTTCTCCTTAATTCCAGGTTGCTTCTCTCCTTGATTAGTTTCCATCCATTGTTTCTTGTCCTGCCTTCTGGTGCTTTGGAAAATAAATCGATCCCCTCTTCTTTGCGGCAGCCCCTCAAGTATTAGAATACTGCTATCATGTCACCCCTAGTCCTAGTCTTCTGAGCACCCATGATTGATTCTTTCCTGGACTGCGCTTGTTGACTGTTTTGGAAACCGCCTACAGCGACTCCTTGACTTCTCACCAAGGAAGAGGAAGTCGTGTCAAAGTTAACTTGAAGCCTATACAGAACAAGGATGTGGAAATCATTATCTTTGGGACCATCAGAAGTTCTCTGGAGGAGGCCCTCAACACAGATGGAGCCAGGCACTTCTGTTTCTAGCCCCTGGCTGTCTGAGTGGCCTTCCATCCAGACCCAGGAGACAAGACACAGCCATGAGAACTAGCTGCTTTGGTCTTTATTCCAGGATCTTCAGAAGCCTCTGAATTTGACGGTGGCGCCATCCTGGGCCATGACCCAAATGCAGGCCGTCCTCGACTTACAACTGCAATCGAGCCCAAAATTTCTGTCGTTAAGCGAAACATTTGTTAAGCGAAACATTTCTGAAGTGAAACATTTGTTCCATTCTGTGACTTTTCTTGCCGCAGCTGTTAAATTAAACCAAACCGTCGCTAAGTGAATTTAGCTTCCCCACTGAACCTGCTTGTCAGGAGGTCCCAAAAGGTGGAATCAGGTGAGCCCCCGGGGCACTGCAACCACCATAACTATGAGGTCAGTTGCCAAGCTGCTGAATTTTGATCACCTGACCTAACTCATAACATTGGGAATGCTACAGTGGTCCTTAAGTGTGAAAACTGGGTCCTGAGTTTTTGGAACTTTGAACGGTCCCTAAGCAAACTGTTGTAAGTCGAGGATCACCTGTGTCCAGACACGCCTCCTTTTTGCCTCCCAGCGGCCAGACGAGGCGCTCCCCTCAGCGAGAAAAGGGAAGCCCTGAGATCCTCGAAGGATCCGGTCTCCCTTCACGGCGGCTTCGGGGATCCCTCTCTCCGTCCGCCGCCCGGGCAATCCACCCCTTCCTCCCTCTCCTTGCCGAGCTCTCTCACCTCAGCCGGAGCCCGACGCGGCTCCCCGCAAGCTGCGCCAAATCCCGCCAGCCCTTGCCCGGAGGTGCGCGATCCAATAGGTGGCTGAGACTCCTCAGCAGGCGCTCCGCCAGCCGGTGGATGAGCAGCGGGACAGTCGGCGGTGCTGCTGCCGCCGCCGCCGCCGCCATCGCCATCCCGGCAGGAACGAAGCGAAGCCCGGACGGCTTTGGCAGGCAGGGAAAGCGAAAGGAAAGGAGGAAGGGCAGTCGCCGCTTCAGAGGCGGGGTCGGAGGCGAGGCGGAGGAAGAGGCGCAGGCGGGGAATCTCCCCGGTAGCAGGAAGCCCAAGGGCGGCGGCGGCGGCAGCGGCGGCGGGTACACTGGGGTTGCGTGGGAGCCCCGCCGCGCCTCGGAAGAAACTGGAAAGTTGGGGGACAGGCGACCTTTTCTCTTTTCCGAAGCTAGGCTTGGTTATTACTACTTGGATGGGAGACCACTCGGAAATCACCAAGGTTGCAGTCCACCCTGGGAAACCTCCCAGGTGAAGGCAGTGCTGGAGCCACAACTGGCTTCTGTTTTCCGGCCTGAGTGGCCAATAAATCCCGCTGGGAGGAGGAGGAGGAAGGGAATTTCCAGCTGTTTATTTCTGCAGAAATAGAGAACTTCTTCAGGCTTGGGACAGAGGTCCAAATCAGGCGCCCTGAAAAATCAAAGCTAGACGTTTATACAGAACGTTTCTTGGTTGTTTACAATATGTCAAAACTATGTGATTTCTTTCAAAACGTTAGTTAGTTTACATTGGGTTGATTACATTTGTCCTTTTGGGTAGATAACTTTTGTTGCATTTAGTACAAGATAGCAAAAACCTTCTTAATCCTATTATTTTCTGGAGTTTCCCAATGCAATATCTGCAGTTTGTCCATTTAGCAAGGAAGCTGTTAAAGAGAGAAGGGACTTAGACAGTACAGTAGGTAATATAATAAATTCTAACTTTGGGTGGCTTAAAGGTAAAGGTAAAAGTTCCTCTCGCACCTACGTGCTGGTTGTTTATGGCTCTAGGGGGTGGTACTCATCTCCATTACAAAGCCGAAGAGCCAGCGCTGTCTGAAGACGTCTCCATGGTCATGTGGCTGCATGACTAAATGCCAGAGGCACACAGAACACTGTTACCTTCCCACCAAAGTGGTCCCTATTTTCCTACTTGCATTTTTTCATGCTTTCGAACTGCTAGGTTGGCAGAAGCTGAGACCGATGATGGGAGCTCACTCCATTATATGGCACTAGGGATTCAAACCGCCAAACTGCCAACCTTTCTGATCGACAAGCTCAGCATCTCAGCCACTGAGCCACCGCGTCCCCTCTTGGGTGGCTTATTTCTACATAATTTGATGAATTTCTGGCTGACTTGGTGTCAAAAATATCATCTTGGGCCTTGTCTTATGAAGGGGATGCCTTTCCTGTAGAACTTACTGCTTTTGTTGTTGGTCCCTCTAGGAATTAAAAGAGGACTTTCCCAGTTTTAAGGACTCTATTATTTTATATTCTTCTTTTGTATTTTTAAACTGTCATTAAGCTCTCAGCAAGACCAGATCACTTTGTCCTTTGACCATCCAGGTAGACTGGGAGATAGCTGGGAGTCACGGTAGCCTAGAAGGAAGCTTTTACTGGTGATGGCAGGGGGAACCTTTGCTGAATCCCCTAAAAGGAATAAATTAGTCATAAATTACACTGGGAATAGGGAAGTGGAAAGCAACTTCTGTACTACCACTAAGAAATGGCTTGGAGATTCTCAGTCATCCAAGACACGGTTGTCCCAAAGGTGCTTTTTCAAGAGGCAGCTGGACTTTTTTTTAATGGCTTAACTGTATTTTATATTTTACTATATATATTATTCAATAAGTTTTATAGGACACATCACCTCCCCAACCCTGGAGACCTCTGAGTGATTTCCCAGACCTTAAGTACTATTTTTGAAATCATTACATGCAGAAGGACACCAAAAGTTTATTAATATCCAAGAAGCCCGTAATGTAGTTTCTATTTCCTTCTATTTCATTTTAAACTATTATTGTACATTTTCATTTGTTATACATCACGTTTCCATTTCTGCAACGCCAGTGTACTATTATATCAAATCTCATTTAACTATACATAGTTTTATACACCCTGATTTTTCACATAATTATACAATGTAATTTCTTTTGAATATACATATTATTTTACATCATAATTATAACCGTATTCACACAGTTATACCATGTAGTCTTCATCTCTAATCACTCTATAGAATATAATCTGTAGTCAAGTACAATCCATTAGTAATATTACTTATAGCAGGGATGGATGGATGTACTATTTTGTTAATCTTTTTCCATTATAGAGTTACTAATCACTGCATCTGTTTTCTAGCCATTTGTACAGTAGGTCCCATGTTAAATAATATTTAACTGGACTTCCTTGTTTTTCTTTGAAGACATTTCACTTCTCATCCTCATCCAAGAAGTTTCTTCAGCTCTGACTAGATGGTGAGGAATGGAAGGTTTTACCGGCAGCTGGTCATTTGCATTCTTTTAAGGCCATCTGGAGGTTTATCTGTGTCCCTCAGGGTCCCCTAAGTGGTGCAAATGGGTGTGGAGCCTTCTTGGAACTGTTGAAAAGACTGTGTTGTAGATTGGAGGTAGATGATGTTGTATTCCTCCTTCTCTGTTGAGAGAGGGCTGTTCAATATTGACAAAGATGGCCTCTTTGACCTCTCTTTCAAACCAGAGGTCCTTTCTGTCCAAAATCTGGACTTTGCTGCCTTCAAAAGAATGACCATTCTCTTTTAAATGCAGATGGACTGCTGAATCTAGTCCGGCTTTGTTCTCCTATATTGGGCCATGCATTTATGAAGTGGTTTGTGAACTTTGGGACTACCGCTAAGAAAGCAATACAAGGGTGGGCAGATAATTGCTAGGAATGAACCTGAAGTTGAGGGAGACCATATCTTTTTGAGTCTGGATATATTTTTGTTCTCCAAGATGGACTTGCTTGTAATTATTTCTTTAAAGTGGAACTTGCAACATGTTTTTTTTTTCAGTTTGGACAGAACCTGGAATCTTTAGCCTGAGCCATCCCATTTCAAGAAAGTTCCATTCTGTGATCTTTTGCGTTTCTCCCTTTTCCAATCTGCTGTTCTTAGTCTTCTGTGGGCAATCCAATCTCTCCTTAAAAACTTCCAGTGCTGGAGCATTTACAACTTCTGGAGGCAAGTCGTTCCACTGACTAATTGCTCTAACTATATATGAAGAACAGGAACTGGGCATGGCTAGTCCAGTGAAGAGAAGGACCAGGGAAGACATGATAGCAGTCTTCCAATATCTGAGGGGCTGCCAGAAAGAGGAAGAGGTCAAGCTATTTTCTAAAGCACCTGAAGGCCAGACAAGGAATAATGGATGGAAACTGAACAAGGAGAGATTCAACCTGGAAATAAGGAGAAACTTTCTGACAGTGAGAACAATCAATCAATGGAACAGAAGTTGCCCTCGGAAGTTGTGGGAGCGTCATCACTTGAGACTTTCAAGAAGATACTGGACTGCCATTTGTCAGAGATGGTGTAGGGTCTCCCGCTTGGGCGGGGGGTTGGACTAGATGACCTACAAGGTCCCTTCCAACTCTGATTATCTGTTATCTGTTAACTGTCAGGAAATTTCTTTTTAGTTCTAGGTTGCCTCTCTCCTTGATTCATTTCCACCCATTGCTTCTTGTCCTGTCCTCGGGTGCTTTTTAAGAAGAGTTTGGACAACAATTTGTCTGAAATGATATAAGGTTTCCTGCCTGAGAAGAGGGTTGAACTAGAACAGGGGTGTCAAACTCAAGGCCCCGGGGACCAGATCCAGCCGGCAGGCTCCTTTGCTCCACTGCTCTGCAGGGACACCCCGGAAACAGCGAGGGACTGGCACACGGTATCTCTGCCAGTAAAAATGGAGCTTGGGAAGGCCTTGTACGAGACCCTCCTGAGCTCCGTTTTCACTGGAAGAGGGTTGCAGAAGGCCATTGCAGCCGAAAACAGAGCTTGGGAGCCCGTTTTTGCTGGCAGAACGCTGGGGTCACCACAGGCGCCCTTAACATGAGTGACGTTGAGCTGACCACACTCACCTTGGCCACCCGAGGTCAAACACAACCCTGATGTGGCCCTCAATGAAATCAAGTTTGACACCCCTGGACTAGAAGATCTCCAAGGTCCCTTCTATTTCTATTCCCTTCCCTTCCCTTCCCTTCCCTTCTCTTCTCCTCTCCTCTCCTTTCCTCTTCTCTATTCACTATTCTCTCTTCTCTTCTCTCTTCTCTCTTGTCTTTTCTTCTTATTCTATTCTCTCTTCTCTTCTCTATTCCCATTCTATTCTTTACCAGTGCATGAATTATTGTTCTTAGACCAATGATATATTCCTTTGTTTTATTTAAGCTGAGGCAGACAATAAAATCTTTTAAATGTGATTGTATCGATTGATGGAGCTTTTTTTTTTGCATAAAAGAGCTCTTTTTCTGCACAGCAAGGTATCTTTTGGAAAATAGCACTCAGAGTAACTCCAGATGGACAATTCCCATTTCCACAGATAAAAGGCATAGCACGCTTTTCTAGTTTTCTCTTTTTAATGGATTTTTTTCCTGTCTATATGTTAAGAGTAAAGGCTGAAGACCCAAGGGGGAGCTTAGGGAAAGGATGCGAATGGAAGACAGTATCAGCTGGTTCATATATACCTTTAAAGTTCTTTTAATGAGGAAAATTGCACAATAGCCATCTCGGTTGGAAGCTCAAATTAGCTTTGCAGTGAACCCCCTGAAGTTTCCATAACTTGAAAATCGTTTATGTAACTTCATTGCAAGATTGGTCGGGCAATAAATGTTTACATATTGTTTATACTAGTTCTAGAAATCTGTAGACTATTAAAATCTGATTTTTAAATTTGTAGGCCTTTGGCGAGGCTGTTCTATCGATTATGCATTCATATAAAAAGTGTTGCTTGATTGTAGCAGGCTATTTTAATTTCTCCTGAATAACTAAGCCAATGTGTTTCAGAATTAATTTTAAACATTCCTTCTCGTAAAATAGGCCCTTCTAGGTATCCTTATTGAATGAGGTAGAAGAAATTCCTTCAGCCATGTT